CCCAGGGATGTGTTTGGGGTGACCCCATGGACGTGTTTGGGGTGACCCCAGGGGCATGTTTAAAGTGACCCCAGGGATGTGTTTGGGGTGACCCCATGAAGGTGTTTAAAATGACCCCAGGGACGTGTTTGGGGCGACCCCATGGATGTGTTTAAGGAAATCCCAGCTCCCTCAGCCTCTCCTCACAGGAATTGTTCTCCAGTCCCTTCCCCAGCCCTCGCTGCTCTTCCCTGGCCCTACTCCAACCCCTCCACGTCCTCCCTGATCTGAGGGACCCAGAACTGGACACGACACTCCAGGGGTGACCTCCCAGGGCCCTAAAAATCCCTTCCCTGCTCCAGCCCGGGATCCATCGGCCCTCTCATCCCTCTGTCCACACTCCAGCTCCCGTCCAGCTTCCTGCCCATCCCAAATCCCGGCACCCTTCCCGCCCGGCTGCTCTCCAGCCCCTCTGGCCCCATCCCAAGAGGTCCCTGTACCTGCTCGGTGAAGTTCCGGACGAACTCCTTGTATCCGGGGGAGCTGCTGTTGTTGAGGTCCTCGGTGAAGTTGCGGTTGACGACGCGAAGATCCACCCGCACCGTCCCGTTGGCCTCTGTCGGGAAGGGGGACACGGATTCGGGACGTGGAGGAGACGGAGAGGAGAGACCCCAAAATCTCTCCCCCCCAAACCTTCCCTGGATTTGGGGTTCACTGTAAAGGGGCCGTTGGGGAGAGAGCTGGGACGGTCCCTCGGCTCCTCTGGGTGATCCCAGGATGGGCTGGGCCATTCCTCCATCTCCCAGAATTCCCAGGTGGGAGTCCCAGATGGATCCCTCTCCTGGATGTGGCTTGGATTGAGGTCAACCCCCATCTCCCGAAATTCCCGTCTGGGAATCCCAGATGGATCCCTCTCCTGGCTGTGGCTTGGAGCTGGGACATTCCGCCACCTCCCAAAATTCCTGGGTGGGAATTCCGAGTGGATCCTGCTCCTGGCTGTGGCTTGGACTGGGATAAACCCCCATCTCCCAAAATTCCCATCAGGTCCTCCCAGGTGGGAATTCCAGGTGGATCCTGCTCCTGCAGGGAACTTGGAACTAACCCTAGGCCCCTTTCTTCCGAAATTCCCAAGTGGGTCTCAGGTGGATCCTGCTCCTGGCTGTGGCTTGGAGTTGGGACATTCCCCCATCTCCCAAAATTCCCAGGTGGGAATCCCAGGTGGATCCCACTCTGGGATGTTACTTGGATTGGGATCAATCCCCATTTCCCAAAATTCCCAGGTGGATCTTGCTCCTGGCTGTGACTTGGAGCTGAGTCATTGTTTCACCTCCCCAAATTCCCAACTGGGAATCCCAGGTGGGTCCTGCTCCTGGATGTGGTTTGGAGTTGGGATAAACCCCCATCTCCCAGAATTCCCATCTAGGAATCCCGGGTGGATCCCACCCCTGCCTCCCCCTCCGTGAGCAGAACCCACGGGAACCATCCCCTCTTCCCAAACCTCCCCGTCCTGCGGGACTCCGGCACCGGCAGGAGAAGGTTTTTTGGGATAGGGTCACGCTCCGTCCTCTCCCCACCCGGAGGACCCTCCCCTCCTCCTCCTGTTCCCCCCTACAGGTATTATCCCCAAAAAAGCCGGGAATTCCTACCAGGCGTGGTCGGGATGGTGTTCATGACGTCCTGGCACCGGGATCCGGTGAAGCCGAGGGGGCACTGGCACTGCCCGTCCACCCACGAGCCGCCGTTGAGGCAAATCCCTGGAAAAGGATGGAAGGTGGGAAAGGAACAGGAAATGACACAGGAGAGGGAGGGGAGGGGGAGGGGGGAGAGGGAGGTACCTGCGGTGGTGGTGGTGCCGCGAGTGGTGGTGGTGGTGGTGGTTGTGGTGGTGGTTGTGGTAGTTGTCGAGGTGGTGGTTGTGGTCGAAGGGGTGGTGGTGGTCCCAGAGGTGCTGGTCGATGTGGTGGTAGTGACGGAAGCAGTGGCGGAGGTGGTTGTATCAGCAGTGCTGGTGGTTGTATCAGTGCTGGTGGTTGTATCAGTGCTGGTGGTTGTATCAGTGGTGGTTGTATCAGTGCTGGTGGTTGTATCAGTGGTGGTTGTATCAGTACTGGTGGTTGTACCCGTGGTGGTTGTATCAGTGGTGGTTGTATCAGTGGTGGTGGTGGTTGTATCAGTGGTGGTTGTATCAGTGGTGGT